CTGAAAGGTACTTTTGTTTTCCACCAAGGTTTTTTGCTCACATGTACTGAATGAATCCTGAAAATATAGTGTGTTTGTTACAGTCAAACCAGCATCTGGGCAATGGAAGGTAAATTTGTTCGTTGCATTGCATAATTATGCTGCTTGAAAATTGAGAACTACTATCCCATCTGACTCTCTTTTGGAGACGTATAAGAAACTCTTTTACGTCACAATAATCCAAAAAAAGTAAACATTTTAAGAACTGGAAAGTATTTTGGGGAAAATTGATCCTATGGATGATTGGGTGCCTTTAAAAAAGGTTTTTGATGTCATTGTGGCTGGTTTTGGAAAAAATTTGTCTGTCATTGTTAACTTGCCCAACAGGAAGGCTGTATGCAATAATTCTAAGATGCTTTAGGTTTAGAGATTGTTAGAATAATAAAATTAGGTTGATGAACCTCAGCAGCAGGTGATGTGAGATTGATCTCAGTGAATACATTCATATAAACAATCTTGAGTGAGCATCTCCTGGTACAAGAAGGGTTTTTAAGGTAATAGAGAAATTCTGATGGTGCCAAGCCACACATGCTCTGGTCATTGCTATTGGAAAGGTTTGTCCATCATCTTAAATTCACCAAACATTAAGAATTGTATGCCATGTTGAGCAACTCCATGGTTGGAGCTTGTTGGAATAATTTGTTGATGAACCAAGCATCGGACGTTTGAATAGTGGAAAATTGATTCTGTTGATGATTCTATCCATGTGTTTCTAGAAACAGACCCTTGTCAAGCAAAGTTTTACTGATTTGCAAGGGTCAAGTTTACACTTTATATGATTTTGTCACACGTTTTACCTTACAAATTGGATGAAATTAAAAATGAAATTTATGAGAATTAAAGGAGACTACACATTTATCAATATCATGATGAAATGACCAAATGATGCATAGCTGCTGTTATATTGTACCTTGACACAAGCCATAGAGCTTCTTCAGTGGACAAACCACAATACACCTGAGCATACCTGCTAACATTGGGGAATAATGCATGTAAATTTCATTGAATGTGACAATTTATCAAAAAATCTTTATTTATAGCAGGTTTTACAACACTAAATTGTTTGTTATTGCAATTCACCACTCACCTTTACAAAACTCTCCAGACTTCTTAGTCTTTCTCTTAAACGTGTGTTCTCTTTGCGGAGAGAATAATTATTATTGTGCCTTGACACAAGCCATAGAGCTTCTTCAGTTAACAAGCCATAATATACCTGAGCATACATGTATCTGTCTTCAAAAGGTGGGTTTTCAGGGTTTTGGCAGAAGTTGACAGTGAAGCCCAACAAACACTTTGTCTTCATATTCCTCCAACTTCTCTTTTTTGATAGTTGCTTTGTTACAATCTTGGACCAACATGTAAGTCATTATGGGTTTGTTTTCATCTCTTGTCAGTCATTTTAGAAATAATAGTAATAATAATAGTGATAATAAATATAATAGTGTTAAATAATTCATAAGATAAAAACTACATATCTTATGTTACAAAACTTCCAATTAAAACTAAGTGAAGTTAAAATAAAATACCCATTACAAAAGGGCATTTCACCTCTCATCTCTAATTGTCTCCTACATTCCTCTATTCTTTCAACAGTTTGTTGCTCGTTGTTAACAAGCTGAGCCTCTCTTTTAAGTTGTGATTTAATTGGGCTATCTGCAAAGACAGGATATAAGCAGACACGTTTTTCATTATGGTTCAAAATATCTGTTCCTCAGGCAAACGTTTGCTGGCTGGGATATTTAAAAAATATATATATATTTCCTGCATAGAAATTATGAAAACTCAAAAGAACAGACCCTAACCAACCTTAATTCTCCAGTCAGTAGATGTTGTGACTAATTGTAAAAGAAATCAAAAAGAGGAACACTTTTTTCAGTTAATCCAACCCAGATTGAATCCAGGGATCAAAAAAATTCACGGGATCAGGGATCAAAATTTAAGGCCTAAATGTGGGATCAGTTGACAAAAAATATACCTCGTTAACTCAACGGGTAAGAAAATGATGTTTTTGGAAAATGTCTGCACGTAACAAAAACAGTTAGAGGTTTGTTGCCAAACTAACTTAACCATAGTAAAAGAGGACAGTATAAAACAGCCCCTTAAGTGCAAGAGACGTGTGCATTTAAATTGCATAATACCTTTCCAGTCAGTGTACTTTTGAACATTCACAGAAGGGCAACTATTATCACTCCACTAAAGCAATACTTAATACTGTGCTTTGTATGATAATGTTGATAGAGATTTTGGAAAAAAGGGATCTTCTTAAATTCAGTTTACACCTGAACATCCACTTGTATATTATACTGTATTTGGTTAGCTGTATGGTTACCTATGTGATGAAAGAAAAATCAAATACAGACATATTTTACACAATCTTCAGTAAACACCTGATATATGAGTTTTTAAAGGTAATAGAGGAATTATGCTGTTGCCAAACGACGCAAAACACTCAAGTTTTGCATACTATGGTCGCTGGTTTTGAAAAAGTTTGGAGCTTGTTGGAATAAACTGTTGATGAACTAAGCAGCAGGTGATTCAGACTGATCTTTGGGATTAAGGAAATGACAAAGTTTTAAAGCATCAGTCACAATCCCAAGGAACAATGTCACGGCAAAGTACTCTGTTAGCAGTACCTCTGTATTTGATCTCAACAAGTAAGAAAATGACGTTTTAAAGCATGTTAGGTGTTGGTTATTCTAAACATAGGCATAGTCCTTAGCAACAGTAACAATGGCAATGTCATGGCAAGCCAGTCTGTTAGCGGTTATCACGCTCATCTAGAACTCAGGACAGAGATGAAGGAAATGAAACAATGAGCCTCTGTTTGTGTGTTTTGGTAGTTGCTTTAGGAAAATTTTGTCTGTCATCGGAATAAAAGGTTGATGAACCCCAGCAGCAGGGAATTTGAGATTGATCTCAAGGAGTAAGAAAATGATGCTTTTGGAGAGTGTTTGCACATAACAAAAACAGTAAAAGATTTGTTGCCAAACCAATGTAACCACAGTAAAGCGGAACAGTCTAAAACAGCCGGTTACATGCAAGAGGCATATGCATTTAAATCAGGACTCTCGGGAAACAAAGCTGTTTCCCTCGGGATCTGACATTAAGTGTATATTGAACTATAAAAGCAGCAGTTAACGATCACAGCTTTAAGACGAATAGCATACTTCAACCACATCGTTGGAAGGTTGAACTCTTCCATTGTCGTCCTCTTGCTTTATTGTACCGCCGCAATTGTTCTGTAATGACTATAACTGATAGGAGGGTAAAGAGAAAAGAGAATGTAAACGTCAGTTTACATTCATTGGATGGGAGAGAATATTTGCTGCGAGACATAAATACAGTGAATATTAAATTATAAAAGCAGCAGTTAACGGTCACAGCTTTAAGATGAATAGCTTACTTCAACTACATTGTTGGAAGGTTGCCTTCTCCCCTCATCGTCTTCTTGCTGTATTGAAGCGCCGCAATCGTTCTGTAATGATGGCAATTTATAATAGATTTGGAGGAAAATCAAATTTAACTAAAACCCAAATAAGGCTAGGGAGTGAATTTACTGCTCACTAACACACGATTTACGTAAGGAAACTAGGTGTCTACTACTCCTACACAACAGGATTTAAATACAAGAAATGTGTGGGAATAATACAACTACACATGGTAAAAATAATAAGGTGTGCAAGGAAATAAAGATATTTAGGTAAACAACTAATTGATAATCATTAGGATAATGAAAATAGTTGAAAATAATTTGGAAATAATTGAAAAATAAAATAAGCTTAAAATGAACTTAAGTGGCCTTGTAACATTAGCAACAGTAACAATGGCAATGTCTTGGCAAGCCACTCTGTCATCGGTTTTCATGCTCAGTTTAGAACTCGGGACAGAGATGAAGGAAATGAAACAGTGGGCTTCTTTTTGTGTGTTTTGGTAGTTTCTTTTGGAAGCTTTTTTCTGTCATTGGAATTAAATGTGGATGCACCCCAGTAGCAGAGAATTTGAGATTGATCTCAACTACTAAGAAAATGATGCTTTTGGAGCATGTTAGGCTCAATTAATCGAACGGTGATTTCGGCGTGATTTCTGCTAAAGGAGTGATGCTGCGCTGTGCCGATCGCTTAAGTGGGGTAACGGATAGATGTTCACACTACCCTTGATAGCTTTAAGTGTCGGCACGAAAAGCAAACCGGTATAGTCTGAACATAGCATAGATGAGCATAACAAAATTGCATGGAGAGAGTTTCCAGACGCCTCGGCCCAGCTAGTTTTTCTACTCACCTAGGTTTTGTCACATCTCGCCTTTCTTTTAGCGATCTCCATTAGGTCCCTATCAGGCTAGTGCCTAAATAGCGGTGTGATCTATTGATCTTTTGAGTCTTCTTCTTATAACTCTGCGATCCCAACTCTTAATCACTCTATTTTTATGAATTGACCCATTACCCGGTAATAAAGTCCATCAAACACTACTACTGGACAATGTTTTTTGGTTTAGCAAATCCAGGTAGTTCTCAGTCATCTCTTTCTTTAGTGATTTTCTTTACAAGAAAAGACATTTTCTTTAAAGGCTACCAGTGGTCTGAAAGGAAGAAAACAAATGTTCCTTCAATGTAACTTTTCTGTAGTAGTAAGATTAAAGGGGAACTACAGAAACCAGGGCACTTTTAAAAGTTTTCTTAAGTTAGTTGAGCCAATAAGTAGCTGGTATTTAGTTGCTTTGTGGTATAATGTATTAATTCCTCTGATGTTGGGAATTTAACTACTGCCTCTTCGCCAGAAGTGATCATTTGAATTTTCTCCATCATTTCATATTGCTCTGGTATACTCATCGTATCCTTAATTATTATATTCATGAAGTGTTGCCTGTTATCACATATTTTAAACTTTAAGAAACTATCCTTAGGAGGCAACTGTTGGTCACCAAAATTCTGGAAACTATCCATGTAGTCATGAGGATATACTCCTTTCTTTTTCATTAATGCTAGTTCCTTATCTTGGAATACTTGCCTGGTATATTTGAATTTGTCTGCAGGTAGATTATCTGCAAGCTGCTCCAAACTGTCGGCTGTAAACTGGAAACTGTCCATAAATACCAGATGTTTACCTAACATGAAGGCCACGTATTTTTCCATATTATTTGGAATACAGTTTATTTCCAGATCATGTTCTTTTCCTATGGCGCCAATTTCCTGCATGATAAAATGGGAATCGTACCCACAGAGATTATGGAAAATAACAGGCAGCTTAAAATCTTTTGGATTAACCCACAACTTCAGAGTACAGTCCTGGTGAGCACTTCTGCGGTACAGCCAGTGATGTGGCAATGATCCCTGACTCTAATTTCTTTCTCCATTTCTTTATACTTCTGGCCACAAATATGGCACTGTTCTGCTTGTCTGAATAAAATTTCCTCCTCATTTAGTCATTTAACTGAAACTTGACTCTCTTCAAGACAGACACCTCTCTGTGACGGAGACATTTTGAGCCAGTCCCTACACTGTCCGTCTTAGAGAGAGGCAATATTTGCACAGACCAAGAGCCGCACAGACCCATATAATCATCCAGATGCATGTGCAGATATTTTTGGGATGCGAACCACCTTTGGTTCACTGTATAGGATACTTACTCCTACACAATAGTCTCGGTCCTCTGCAATTTTTGTGAGACAACAAAACATCTTTTCCTTAAAAGCTACCAGTTCTCTGAAAAGTAGAAAATACATGTACATTAAAGCTAACTTGTCTGTAGTTCAACTTATCGAAAACGGATAACAAAATCATGAGTTAACATATTGTTTTCATCGTGTGGGATCAAATGTAAGAAGGCAACATGAACAACATCTAGCAAGTCCCAAGATCCTATCACTAATGACATGTGTAGCAGTAAGTCGGCATTATTTTAGTAAGATTAAAGAGTAAGTACAGAGAAAATAAGCAGCTGGTATTTACTTACTTTGTGGTATAACATTTTAACTCCTCTGATGTGGGGAATTGAACCACAGCGACTGCTTCTTCAGAAGTGATCATCTCAATTTTGTCCATCATAATAATACTGTTCCTCTGTACTCATCGTGTCCCGAATGACTAACAGGAAGTGTTCCCTGGAACCTGTCCATAAATACCAGATGTTTACCTAACATGAAGGCCACGTATTTTTCCATATTATTTGGAATACAGTTTATTTCCAGATCATGTTCTTTTCCTATGGCGCCAATTTCCTGCATGATAAAATGGGAATCGTACCCACAGAGATTATGGAAAATAACAGGCAGCTTAAAATCTTTTGGATTAACCCACAACTTCAGAGTACAGTCCTGGTGAGCACTTCTGCGGTACAGCCAGTGATGTGGCAATGATCCCTGACTCTAATTTCTTTCTCCATTTCTTTATACTTCTGGCCACAAATATGGCACTGTTCTGCTTGTCTGAATAAAATTTCCTCCTCATCAGTCATCTGTAGGGGCTCCTTAAATCTGGTGCCAATAGTTTTCCTGCAATATTCTACCTCCTTCAGCATCTCCTGCATGAACTTTTTAATTCATCATAACAGCACACTACTTTGTAACCGTAGCTGCATCCCGCGTGATTTTGATATTTGTTTGTGTAAGATTTAGTGCTATTAGGTTGGCATCCTTGTACCTTCTCAGTAACAGCCTCAAAATCTGCCTATATAACAAATGGTGCCAGCATCTGACTACGGTGGTTTTGGAAGTGAAGTGTATTTTTGTCCTTCTCCGGCATCCTAATAGCCTGCTCACCATTTATTACCATACAATAATTGGTCATATGCTTGTTAACTATCTCTTTTGTACTGAAACATTGGAGACAATGTATGCAGAAATACTTTCTGTGCTGATACTTAGTCTTATTATACATCATTCTATCGAAATCCTTAACCAGCACATAATGTTGCTTCTCCCCCTCTGTAATCAACAGAGGGTTCAAAACAACCTTATTATGCTGTTTGGACACATGCATAGGGTAAAATTGCTTGTTCCCATAGCCGAAAACATTGATATTGATGCTGTTTTGCTCCTCTATTTTATCATAATGTTTGGTAGCAACAGAGAACTCAATACCTTGGTAATTTAACTTTTGTACCATCTCTCTATCTGATTTTTTGATCTGCTGAGGATTTCTTTCTTGTGGATTCAAAAGACAGACATGGCACCAGCGAAAACACTCATTATCCAGCCAGACACCAATACCATTCAATAATTGCTGCTAGGATAATCCCAGGCTTGGTAAAAAATCATTGGGGTTAATTATAATCTGTGCCTGACTATCGAAATACGCTGGTTATTCTAAAAAAAAGACGTCCTTGGCAACAGTAACCTGAAATGGCTTTCTACGAGCAGTTTTAGAAAGCGGTATAAAAATCATCTCCTGAAATGTCAGTCATGGTTGGCCACTTCTGGGAGAGAAAGGATTAATGAAATAATACAAATTTAATGAATACCTATATTATTAAATACTAACTTGCACTGCGTAACCAAGCTTCAGCCACAGCACTTTGATTAGTTCTTCTGCTGCTTCAGCCACAACATTAAAATGGGGCAATTAGTACTGTAAACATGCAGTGTACAAATACAGACGTTTATTACTACATAGTGTTGACACTGACCAGGGTCCCTTCTATAATACAATGTAGGTGTATGGTTAATATATGTTCCATAGTATGATATAGTAATAACACCTACAAATAAACCCAGTTACCTCAGTAATGGTAGACCCGCTTGAAATTCCAAAACTTTAGTTTAAAATACGACCAGAATACCCTCTGGATTATCATTAAAATGTACAAGATGATGCAGGTTGTGAATAAAATCTTGTCTCTTGAAGTCAGGTGCATGGGCAGTACATGTACACAACTGATTTGCAACAAGATTAAATTTGAAGCATGAGTCCTGTTTCCTTTTGGGAGGTAATCATACGTTAACAAAACTGCAACATGATATTTAAATTTTACTTACACATTTCCTTTTGCAAAGCTGCAAACTCCTGGGAAATAAAAAGCAGCATTTTTTACCACTTTTTGTCCAAATTTCCCTTTTGGAGAATATTAACTGAGATTAAAATAAAATTTCTTTTTATGAGGCCAAGAATCCTGCTGATGTTTTCAACAGATCCTCATATCAAGCTCTAAGAAATTTGAGGAACACAGAAGGAAGGATTTGGGTTTTGGATTTCAGAGTTCAAGAGTAGACAGGTCTGTAGTCCTACACAGGCGCCTACATTTAAGAGAAATGGAGGAATCACTTACAGTTAGGGATAAGTAGAGAAAGTCTCTGTAGCTCATATTTCTGATATATAGCAAAGGATCAAAAGTTTGGCAGGGGCTGATGAGTGACGGTTTAACGACCATTTCTTCCCATCATATCTTTGTTTGTGAGCTTACTTTTGCAGTTATTAACTATTTATTGAAATAAAAAATAGTCGCTTCATCTTGTCTAGTAAATTCACACAGTAATCTACTGAGTTGTTCTCCTGGTTACTTACTTGTTGTTGCGGCTTTCTTACTCTCCTTGCACTCTCCATTGCTCCTTTTTGCATTTCTTTAAGAACATAATTTTTTTCATATCGGAAATAAAATTAATGAAAAAAGACAATTTAAAATAATGTTACCTTTTGTTAGGACATAAATACTAAGTCAAATGTCCGGAATGCCTGATCTTTTGACCAACAACCCTAGGCTGATTGGTAACAAATAAAGAAAATGGCTGTTTGTGCGACTAACTGTCTAATCAGCAGCCCAGCTGCTTATCAATTGACAAACTGATGACAAGTTGTCTGGCTGATCAATGTTCTGACCAACTTACCAACTGTCTCACTGACTGACTTACCATAAAAATTCGGGTGTACTGCCTGATAATGTCTTATAAAATAAAGGTTCTTACTTACTCACAGTTGGTGAGGGTGACACGTAACAGTAACTAAACATTACTGATCAACTTGTGGCCCTCTAAAAATATCAAAATACAGTTTATAAAAACTACTTTAGCAATAAATTATTATTTACGATAAAAAATTCCTAGAATTCAATAAAAATAAAAACAAAAAAGTATTAAAAACTAAGAGCATCCAATATCCATCTATTGTCATTAATTTAGGTCAAACGATCGCTTTGACTTCTGAGAATTTAAAACTATTTTCCATGATTCAGCCTTAAAAGATTTCAAAGTCCTCCTTGATTTTAGTGATCGGGGTAGATTGTTCCAGTCCTTTACAGTTCTTACAGCAAAGGTGCGTCCTCCCTCTGAGATGTTCCTATATATACATATTTGCAAGAGATGCCCTGGACTTCAATCAGAGTCCAGATATCTTATGCACTTTTTCTTCTTTATGCAGCCTTTACACCACTTTTTTGGATTCCAACTCCTTACTTTGCACTTTTTCATTCTTGCTGTTCTTCTTTGAGCCCTTGCCGGTTCCTGTACCTGGTTCTGTTGCCGTTCCTGGTTTGCCGGTAATTGATCTGGTGGATCCAGTAATCTTTCCCTCGTTTCTTGTTGCAAAGTTCTAAACTCCATTGCATATTGATCCCGCTCTTCAATGATGTTTTCGATCTCTTTTCTACATCTTTGATGTAATCTTGCTTGCTCCTCCTGTAACTCTGTTATTTCTTCTTTCAATTCTCTCTCTGTCTCCAAGCGACTCTTCTTTTGTTCTTCTATTTCTTCTTTTAATCTTGTGTTTTCTTTTCCTTTATGGCTCATTTCAACTTCCAGTAATTCCATATTTTCCTCAGAACAGTTTGTTTTCCTCCACAAATGTCGGATATGTTTCTCTTTCATTTCCAGTTCTCTCCTACATTCTTCAAATTCTTTTAATCGTTCATCGCTCTCTGTTGTTAACACTGTGAGCCTCTCTTTTAAATTCTGATTTTCATGTGTTAATTGGGCTATCCTACTTCTAGGAAATTCCTCAGCTTCATTTAATTCTTCAAACATAGTTCCGTCAAATCTCCAAAGGTGAATGTTGAAGTCAGCTTTCGCCAAGTCGAGCTATACTTGTCACGGTCCTCCCGTGTATCCTGGTAGGAATGATATATCCACCACCAAACCTAAACAGTGAATTCTTCACAGCTTTTCAAATGTAACACTTCTTGGAGATTTTAATACCAATCTACTACAGACTTACACGTCGTACGAAGGAAACAAGATGAAAGGGATACTCAAACAGTTTACTTCAACTTCAACTTTATTTAAATTTGGAAAAATAACAAAAGATACATTGGGACTGGCATGGCCTGCAGTTAGCGAGGCTATTCGAGGCAGGCCAGGTTAGATAATTTACTACAAACTATACAAATACAAAGAAATTAGACGTTATATAAGAATATATATTTTACATTAAAAAGATACTATTCTACTTAAATGCAAGGACAATATTAAAGTGAAATTTTAAAATGAAAATAAAAGACAAGAGAATTACTTTTTCACTTTCACAATGATCGTATCCACATCAATATAGGAGTCTTCAGTTTCAAGGATATCAAGAAGCATTTCTTTTAGTGATCTTTTAAAAGCTTTTTTCGGTCTTTCTTTAAGAATTTGAGGTATCTCAATGGAAAGGGAAAAGAATACCCTTTCAAAAATAAAAGGTGTAAGGAAACCCACATATTCTGGGGGGCTGGACGTTAGCAAATAATTGGCTAAATCTACTAACTTCCTTTGGGCCAATATAGGGGCAATAGGAAGTAACGCAAATTTTTGCGAATTTTTTTTCGTGATACGTCACAGGCTACCGTTCGAGCTACGAGAACGCAACCCCTAATTTGTGTTGGGTGTTCTATGCATTATTGAGTGACCTGTGCAATTAATAAGGGAGGTTTTTTTGAGATTGCATTTTCGTTCGTCGTCAACACACATTTGCCTCGCTTTGAGGCGCTTGCTTAAGTTTTGCTTCACTTTGACGCGCTAACTCATGTGGTGATTCTTGTGTCCTCGGCTTTCATCTTTCAAAGGTTTGCTAAGGTCTGATATTCTTCGGCGTTTATCTTTTAAAAAGTTGGCTGAATCTTCGTAAAGCATACGTCGATCTGTGATTGCTGAATCGTCCAAAGCGTTCATCTTTCAGGAGTTTGCTGTTAACTTTTACTTTGGATTAAGCCTTCATGTTTTTCAGCATGGTTCCGCATCACTGTCTTTGGAAAATGTCTGCGACTACTGGTGCATGCATCAAACCGGGTTTAGTTCGGCGGCGGTTATGCCACAAAGTAAATTTACCGAGTTGTGTAGCTCGGCAGCCGTTGTGCCACAAAGTAAATCTACCGAGATGTGAAGCTTACCGGCGCCATTTGACCGTGACTTGTGATATTTTCGGCACCGGACAAACAAACACTTTAACTCTATCTTATTTATTAGGAAAGACTTATAAATCAGCCCACAGTAGCGCCACTCTCGAGTCACTGAAATCAACACGCTCGACCAATTACTGGAAAAGTTATTGACGTGAGCTGCACACACGTTCTATTGAAGGCTTTGATAGGGTTAGTGCAAAGTTTGAATTCAGATGTGAAAGCTTTTAAACCAGTACAGTCAATGTAATTCATTTTGTCAACAAGTTGATGATTGGATGCTGTTAAAAATAACAGAGAAAATTATCCGAAGAAATGTTTTTGAAGAAAGAAAAAGAAACCCGGGTTAAGAACTAATTGGCCTTTGAGAAACTGCGCCCTGTAACTCGTGCCAGTAAAACAAAATGTTCCATTTACAAGTCCGACGCTGGCTAATGTCTCCTCCGATTAAAAGCACTTGACACCAAACCATACGACATCTTTTGAAAACGTTCTTAAAATGATACACAGTTTAAATAGAGGGTTCACTGTACGCAACCATTATGTTTAAAATATGCCATAATCATGTTTATCTACATCGCAACCACCCTTCCACCTCAACAAACATATCGAACGCACTCTCCTAAGCTCCGATTACTCCTAGTATAATAATGAAGACAAAATTTATTTTACAGGACTTGCTATCGTGTATAACAAACTGCTCTTTCTGGAAAGTCGACGCATAAAAAGCCTAATATTTTTTCTTTTTTGCTTTTGTTAAATATAACTTGTCGGTAGAGAAGTGACTACGGGAGGGTTATCATATGTTAACAAAACTACGACATGATATTTAAATTTTACCTATGCATTTCTTCTTGCGAAGTTGCAAACTCCTGCAAAGTAAAAAGCAGCATTTTTTACCACTTTTCTAACTTTCACTTACATCTAAGCAATTTGGGTTCAGGCCGAAGTTATCAACTGGAACAGCCCTATCTCATTTCACCGACAATATCCTCCAGAATATGAACGCTGGTTTCTTTATAGGTGCTGTTTTTCTGGACCTGTCTAAGGCCTTCGATACAGTGGATCATCCCCTGCTGCTGCAAAAATTGACGAACATCGGTCTTACCACCTCTACCACACAGTGGTTTAGATCATACCTCACAAACAGATCTCAAATTACATCAGTTGGAGATGCTCACTCTGCATCTACCGAAATGCCCATTGGAGTACCCCAAGGCAGTATATTGGGACCTTTATTGTTTTTAATTTACGTGAATGATCTTCCGGACTGTCACCTGGCAAGTGATATTATTCTTTATGTGGACAATACTGTACTCTATTACTCATCCAAAAGCGTCAGTGATCTTGAACATCACATCAATGCTGACTTGGGGACAGTGTCTGAGTGGTTCTCTAGAAATCTCCTGACACTAAATATATCCAAATGTAATTTTGTTATCTTTGGAAGTCCTCAGAAACTGAATCGTTTTCAAGGCATTTCGTTTAAAGTAGAGGTCACTAGCATTGAAAGAACACAATCATTCAAATACCTAGGCGTAACGCTTCAACAGTCCATGTCCTGAACAGATCATGTCGATGCTATCAGCATGAAGATTAATCAGAGAATAGGCCTAATTAGGAGAATCAGGAATCTATTGCCACTACAAGCTAGAGTTGCCTTGTACAATGCCCTAATCCTCCCTCTTTTTGATTACGGAGATGTTATATGGGGGGACAAGAACAATGACACCATCATGTCAGAATTACAGATTCTACAGAATAAAGCTGCTAAAGTTATGCTGGGGCAACCACCCCGAAGCTCGTCAACTGAAGCACTGAAAAAGTCTGGATTTGAAGTCACTGTCCACAAGAAGGTTTTTTCATCGCTGCATTGCAATCCACAAGTGTCTTTATTGGAGAAACCGATTTCAACTTTAATTTTACTAAAAGTCAAGCTGTTCATTCATATAATACAAGACGCTCTAATGATATTCGCTTACCCCTACCCAGAACAAACTGGGGTAAACAAACTTTTATTTTTCACGCCACGAAAGACTGGAACAGCCTTCCAAATGATTTAAAAGAGTGTAATATTTTATCTATTTTTAAATCCAAGTTAAAAACTTTTTTAAAAGATCTCAGCTAATTTTAAACCTTGATATTTTTTTGTATAATCGATTTTAAGATTTTAAATTTTTAAATTTGTTTTACTTAATTAGTTAGATTAATGCATGAGGGCCCCGCTGAAAACCGCCTTGGCGAGTTGGGCTCCCTCTATAAATATTATTATTATTATTATTAGTAGTAGTAGTAGTAGTAGTAGTAGTAGTAGTAGTAGTAGTAGTAGTAGTAGTAGTAGTAGTAGTAGTAGTAGTAGTAGTAGTAGTAGTAGTAGTAACTGAGATTGCAATAAAATTTCTTATTATGAGGCCAAGAATCCTGCTGATGTTTTTAACAGATCCTCATATCAAGCTCTAAGAAATTTGAGGAACACAGAAGGAAGGATTTGGCTTTTGGATTTCAGAGTTCAAGAGGAGACAGATCTGTAGTCCCACACAGGTGCCTACTTGTAAGAGAAATGGAGGAATCACTTACCGTTTGGGATAAGTAGAGAAAGTCTCTGTAGGTCATATTCCTGATATTTAGCAAAGGATCAAAAGTTTGGCAGGGGATGCTGAGTGACGGTTTAACGACCATTTCTTCCCATCATATCTTTGTTTGTGAGCTTACTTTTGCAGTTATTAACTTTCTAATTGTGGGGAGAAGGCAGTGAATAGACCATGGTACATAGCGGTGCATTAACAACTGCATCACTAAAATGGAGGTTGGGTGCCTGAAGTATCCAGGGGCTTCCACTATTGGCAGCCAGCCCCTAGAGTGAAATAATGCCCCCATGACTGGCACAACAGTGCAACCCAGCCATGAGCTCCCACACCAAAGGAAAGGAACAGGCACCCGTCACACTGAAAAAACATCAGTGGAGAAAAACCCAACAAGCCTAGGGGGAGGGCGAGAGGGGAAGAAAATGGCCGACAGAACCCAGCACGAAGGGAAAACTGAATGCGCCAAGGAATCACATGATCGATGTAGCCAGCTACTGGGCATGTGCATGCCAAAGGCCGCTGACCTAGGCACCCAGGCGCTCTTAGTTGTTGACTCCTTTAAATTGCATTCAAATGCATTTAACAACTGTATCGCTAAAATGGAGGTTGGGTGCCTGAAGTATCTAGGGGCTTCCACTATTGGCAGCCAGCCCCTAGATTGAAATAATGCCCCCTTGACTGGAACAACAGCGCAACCCAGCCATGAGCCCCCACACCAAGCCGAAGGGACCTCTGAGCTATGGCGCTAAGGCTCGGAGAAGGTGCTCGTGGCTGGGAGATGCCCGAGCCCCTAACGGCCAAATCCGAAGGCGCTTATACGTAGGTGTACGCTACCTCTCCTTATAAGGTACCTATTACTGAAGTAGCCTCCCAGAAACTTCCAAATTTGATTCCACTGGGGTTCTAACGTAGAGTTGATATGCATCACTGGACCACCTGCCCATGGTCTTGATAAGGTGATCTGGAATGCTGCATTGCGCGGTCGTGGTGGCAGCCCCAATGTGAAAGCTGTGACCTGAAAACTGCCCAGGGATTCCCGCTCCCTGTAACACAGACTGGATGAAGGAAGATAGACGAGAACGAGTTAAAGGCTGACCATCGGTGTTGATGAAAAGGGGACCAGACGAGGGCCCTCACCAATGTAAATATGCTAGGATGGCCGAAATTGGACAAAGAGGGGCCAGACCACGCCCCAGGTATATAAAACATCCCTGGCGAAATGGGTCGGTTTTAGAACTTTTGATGTGCACCCGCAGGCTGGAAGGATTAACCTCAGTCAAATGGATGGATGGGTCAAAGGCGCAGTTGACCGTAAACTCCCCTGCCCATAGGAATCCAAAGAAACCTAGGCAACATGCAGCCCACAGCATGATGTGCTCTGAGTTGTGGGCATCCAAGGAACGCTGGATAATTCGCATAAGGTCGGCTGCCACTGGCTGGCGTTGTGGAAGGGATGAGCCTAGATGGCGCCTAATGCCCCGGAGAAGACGCTGAAATTGGAGGCAGTTCACCAAGGGATCGGGGAAACCCTGATCGATGTGCAAGGACCGTATCGACGAGAGATAAACCTTTATTGAAGAGTGATGTAAACGATCCGCTAGGTGGCAACAAAAACACAGCAACGTTTGTTCACTAGTGGGCAGTAACGAACCATTTGAACTGACATAGCCATCTAATGTACAGAAATACACCTGTCGGGTTGAAGGCGCCAGACCGTTGGAGAGATAAAATTGGCACTTTTGGTCTAAACTACAGGCAGCTGGTCCAAGACCCAAGGAGGTACCGACGTTGCTGTAGGAGACGCATAAGGAGCTAGCTGATGGAACCGCTGAAATTCAAAACGAGAAATGGCGTCAGCTATGGCATTTGATTTCCCAGGAACGTGACGAGCAGTAAACACAAAGGAGTGCCGGGCTGTGAACAGGGAGAGGTGACGAAGCAGCACCATCAAGTTCGAATCTCGTGATGTACCGGGCCGCAAAACCTCGACCATATCTGTATTGTCAGAACAAAATTCCACCCGCTTTGCAGACCACTGATGTCCCCACAGGGAAGCTGCCAGAACAATCGGAAAAATTTCTTTGTAGGCAATGGATAAGGGCAGCTGTAACGGAGACCATCTCTTTATGAACCAGTCTCTACCTTAAATAGCCCCGTATCCAACAGAGACAGCGGTGTCAGAGGAGACATGGAGATCAGGAATGGGAGCCCAACGAGGAGACAACCGAGAAAACTGTACCCATTCCATGACTGGAAGAATTCGAGCCTCCACGACAAATCCAAATGAAATTCTCTATTAAGCCTTATAGGATAGTCATCTCTGCGAAAAGCTGAGAGCAGATTGATCATGCGGCGGAGGAAGGTGCGACCAGAAGGGACAACTTTGCATGCATGTTGAAGATTGTCAATTAAAGACTCCAGCTCCTTCCGTGTGCAATGGCGTTTAAGTGACCAGGAGACCAGGAGTGTGTGTTGTTGTCTTCTTCTTCTTTAAGGGGGAATAGGGCGATTCGCTTCTTCCCTTATATTAACCAGATTTTGGAGTTCACTCATTTTGATTCCAGATAATAGCCTTCTGACTAGTTCATTACGATTGCTCATTATATTATTAATATATATATATAATATTTCTAATATCTGCGCTCATTAATATAATGATATATGTCTTTAAGCCTCGATCAGGTCACGTGATCCCCCCAAATTCCAGGAAAAACCCATTTGGCCACTTCCAGGAATTCCGGAATATGAAAAATGCGCTCCTACCCCCATGTCCTATACTACTGCCTCTAAACTGGTTAATCCTACGCCAAGACAAAGGCAAGATTCCGACAAAGTGCATGTCAGGGACTCCCTTTCTCCTCCTTTCTAAGTCCCCCCTACCCTACGCTCACAGTATGTACGGGCATGTAGGTAGATGGGCGGAAGTAAGCTGATGTCATAGCGAAATTTCCTTCAATTGATGGCTTTCCAATTTCTATAGGAATGGAGGCTCCGCGCCAGGACACTCCGCTAAAAAATTGACCAATAGAATAGTTACCTTAGGTTTTCCTTTTCTTTATGGCTCATCTCCATTTGTAGTAATTCTATATTCTCCTCAAAACAGTTTGCTTTCCTCCCCAAATGTCGTATCTGTTTATCTGTAAACCAAAGAAAAAACCATGACCATGATTAATTAATTTCTACTCCTTCCCGAAACAGTCATAACTTAGCGATCAATTGAACTATTGTAGAAGACCTAAATGAAATAAATAACCCAAAATGTTACGATATTTTGCCTTAAATGTAATAAATTTTTGCCCTAAATCCAATAAACTCTTAGTTATAACATAAGGCCTTAAATGTTCTGACGACATGCTACGTCATCAATGACGTAAGAAACACGTCCTTAAAGGGGCTGTGTCATGGCTGTTTGCTTCATTATGTTAATTTTGCCAATTATCTTATTTTCTCGAATAAGCGCCCACCGCCCCCCAATTAAGTGCCGCACATGGTAGACGCAGTCATAGACGACGAAATTCTAGACGTTCCTCAAACATTACGATGGACCAAATTCGCAATTTGTACAAAGAGGATCATGGTGGCCTACATCTTCTTCTTACGGCGCTTTATCAAAATATATCTTCAGAACAAAGGGATTGATATGATAGGCATTACTAAGATTTTTTTACCTAAGCTGCAAAATGTATTTCGGTTATGAAATGATTACTCAGCAGCTGTAACTTAGTTAGCTAGTGAACCAAACTGGGCACTGATCTAACAAGAATATTCAGGGTTTCAAGATGACACTTTGACGGTAACCAATGCCAGCAGTCGGCTAACAGAAGGCTGAAGTACAAATGAACACACTTGGAAGTAGTGCTGACGGCGGTGTACAGAACGACAAGTAGTCGACGTTTGCTTGACTATTGTCCAACCTTTTTCCTACCGTTGATCAACAGTTTTTATTCATAACTCTTAGAAACTCAAGGGGAAGGGAAGGAGAAGAAGGGAAGAAGGGACTGATTAGTTAAACCCTATTACAAAAGGGCATTTCACCTTTCGTTTCTAGTTCTCTCTTACATTCCTCATACTCGATTAATCGCTCGTCGCTCATTGTTGTTAGGACGCTTATCCTCTCCTTTAAGTTTCTATTCTCGTACGTTAATTGTGCCATCTGCAAAGACAGGAAATAAGTAGACATGTTTTTCATTATGGTTCAAAATTACCTTTGACCTGGTAGAATTTTAAGAGTTCATTTTTTTAGGTATTAGGCAGCAGCAAGCCAAGGTCCAATAGTATGAGGGTTGGGCGGACCCACGCATGTCCTGTGACGGTAGCTGGAAACCTAGGCTCATGGTTCGATGCGCCGCTCTCGATGTATCAAGTCATAATTATTAGCAAGTTATCCCGTGGTATCGGCTCTCACAATCTCAGCACAATATGAAGCAAACGGATTTGCAAGTATTTGTCCTAAGAATTGATGGAAATGCTTGTCTATGCATTTATTACACCTCGTGTGGATTATTGCAATAGTGTTTTGTGTGGGTTGCACAAATTAGGCCATGTTCACAGTATATGGGATAGCTTTTGGGCCAGTGCGAAAACTATACCGGCTAGGGCTTCTGTTTACTCATAAGAATGGTGATTTCGGCGCGATTTCTGCTAAAGGAGCGATGCTGCGCTGCGCCACGCCGATCACTTAAGTCGAATAACGGATAGATGTTCACACTACGCTCGATAGCTTTAAGTGTCGGCACGAAAAGCTAACCGGTATAGTCTGAACATAGCATAGACCAGCAATAACAAAATTGCATGGAGAGAGTTTCGAGACACCTTGGCCCGGCTAGTTTTTCTAATCGCCTAGGTTTTGTCATATCTCGCCTTTCTCCTAGCGATCTGCATTGGCTCCCTGTCAGGGCTTGGATTGGCCTTAAGATACTGCTGTTTACTCACGGCCTAGTGCCTAACTATTGGTGTGATCTATTGATCTTTAAGTCGTCTTCTTATAACCTTAGATTACTTAGTAGTGTTATACTTTCTACGCCAGCTGTTTAAACTTAGGTGAAAGAGCTTATTTTAATTATTTGACAGCAGCACCCACGCTCTGGAACGCTCATCTCTCATTGTCGTGCAGTCGTTAAGGTGAATAATTTTAAGACGCATCTGAAGACTTTTCTTTTTAGATCTGTGTATTGGTGACAGATCTTTTATTTGCCTATGTTTCATGCATATGTATATTTTTTAATATCTTATCCCTGTCTTTTTTAATGTAATGTGAGATCCTCCCTTGGTAGTATTCTACTTCCTGTTTCACGGGTTTAGCAAAATCACTCTATTTTACACACAATAAGGTATTAATTATTTTGTATTATTATTATCATATTATTATTATTATCATTATTATTGTTATTATTATTATAACGAGTGATACCGGTAAAAGAAAATTATAATTATTTTAGACCATATAAACTTCGAGTTTAAACCTTAAAATAATTTGATCAAAAAGGGTTAGCTTTTTCGTCTTTCTTCGGTGCCGCATATTTATACGACGAAGTCACGGTTCGAGGTTGTCCACTATGGTGAGAAGTGATTCCATTTGCTTTCATTTAAATGGGTGGATGAAAATTGATCGCTCTTTTTGATATACAAATCATGTCCAGGGACATACAAATCATGTCAAAGAGAAAGGAAATCAACTATTACAGCTGATTCTAAAGTCGCGGCACAAGCCGATTAAGGTGACTGAACACAGTTTTGCGGGCGGTCAGCGGTAACTCGTGTGAAGGCGCGTGTTTTAAATTAGACAAACAAACATGGCAGTGAAAAAGCAATAGTACACAGAAGACGATTTTTCAGAATCTACTCATTCAAGAATTTTTACTTTTATCGTATTTTAAATAATGAAAACTTTAAAATGGAAGTTGAACTGACAAATTTTTTGACACATTTAATAATTACAGTACAATTATATTATTATTATCTAAAAACCCGTTTGTTAAAATTTGGTCAATTAAAAATAAGTTTCAAAAGGTAATGATTAATTTCGTTCGACGTTAGGAGAACGCAACACATAATCTTGGGATTCCTGTCGTACTCAAGGGTGACCTTTTCAGCAAGCGTGTTCCGTCGTACGTCTGGACTTTCTGCGCCACTTTGAATAATTTAGCTCGCGTTATTTACGTCATAAGCAATTGTCATAAGCGCAAATGGCAATCTCGTGCATCACTGGTTCCATCAAGGTCAACAAGGTGATTGGACGGAAATATTTGAGTTCGGCAAACGAATGAACTTTGGAGTTGTTTTCTAAGCGGGTTTTTTCACTGAGCTGATGATTCTGCTACACCTTTTTCGGTCAATGCCGTTCAAATCGAGCTCGAACTTCGTAAAAACACACAAATAAAGACCAGGTAACATTTGTGTGGTGAGAAGTAGACCCGTGCGTTTGAGTCTATTTACATATTTGTAGTTTAACCTCTCACATGCACGAAAAATATTCTGGGACAAAGTAAGCTTGAAGAATTTTATCCGCGTATCAGTGCAGGTTTTACAGACTTAGTAACTAGAATACCTGTGTAAACTGCCTGTTTAGTTTTAGCTCTGGAACTGATGCACTCTTGGAGAAATTCAAGGAAAAGATAACCATATTTTAGCCATCAAATAAAATGGCCGAAACTCCATGTAGTTGATTAACCTTTTATGCCACGCACATTTGATATAATAAAGAACAAAAGACATAAATGTAAACTAGGATGATGGTATTGTATCTGCTCCAAGTCTTGGGTTGTAGCGTTTAAGTGGACTTGAGAAACAGAGCTACACATTTTGAACTTTTTACAACAGTTTCTGAGTTAGAAATTAGGTTTTTTGCCACCAACAAACAATTGGTGTTACCATGACAACAATAAAGTAGCAACCCGAATAAAGTGCATTTTAAGACATCTACCCACAATATTATATAATTGCATGCAAAATTTAAAGGGGAGAGTCAAAATGTTTCATTTTCCACTTTGCTTG